TTGCAAGAACCAATGGCATTCTGAATAACCTGGTGCAGTGTCTATTTTGACATCTCACCCTGAGTTGGAGAAATTTAGCATTATACCACTTGCTCACCAATGGATCCTCTGCAGTGAATGGGTGCCGTCAGAATGAGAGTCCAAACAGCTGATAAAAACATCACAATAATCCACAAGTAATCCACACCACTCCAGTCCATCGATTAACATCAGGTGAAAACCTGTGTATTTGTATAAGCAAATCCATCATTAAGGCATTTTTACTTTAAACCATCACTTCTGGCCAAAATTGCAATCCATAATTCATAAAAACACTTCCTCCAGTGGAAAAAGTCCATCCTCTGTTGTCCTTTCCCATCAAAATCCACAGAAATATTTATTTAGAACCATTTTGGACCGTTTACACTTGTAACGATGCTTGATCTGTGCATATTTCTCTCCTGATTCAGACGAGACGACTTTTTCACTGGCAGAAGTGATATAATAGAGGACTCATATTTTAACCAGTAGTAACACTTAAAAAAATTTGATTTGTATATTACAAACAAAGCTTTTCGCTTCACAAAACATTAATTAATGGACTGGAGTGGAAACAAGTGGATTACTTGTGGATTATTGTGATGTTTTTATCAGCTGTTTGGACTCTCATTCTGACGGCACCCATTCACTGCAGAGGACCAAAAATCTGTTCTGATGAAGAAAAAATCTAATCTACATCTTGAATGGCATGAGAGTGAATACATTTTCATCATATTTATATCTTTGGGTGAACTATTCCTAATAAACAGCTCTTTGAAGGTGATTTTATACCCTGGATTTGAACAAACCTTCTAGGATTTCGCCACACAAAGAACCACTACTGCAGTGGTGATTTGCTTACAAACGCAAATTGCAATTACCAACCAAAATTAAACCAAAGCTTTAAGTTCTTGTTTATTACTTAGTCTTCAATTAATTCTGACGCCCAAGGCAACACAAAAAAACAACAACAACAAATAGACTGCATCAGTGAGCATGAGCTAATTTCAAACATATAACTCCAACCACACGGACTGACGCTTTCTGAATTTTCGTTCAATTCATTTGTTTGAGGGCATCTTAGCTAATAGCTTCTGACCGTATGAGTTGCTTAAAGCCAAATTATTCTTGTGTTAATTTTTGTTGTTAAAACACTTAGTATATCACTTTAATGTGCAGATTATATGTAAACCATGAGTTAGATGACTTTTCTCTGTGGTGGTTTTAAAACTTTGCTCTGTTTGTTTGGGTGTTTTGATATGTCAACTTCTGGCTCAACTAATAGTGTGAATGGGGGTAGGGTTTTAAGGGAAATTTTACATGCAATTTTGTTTTGTGCCACTAGGGTTGAGAGTAACACACTTCACCTTTATCCAAAAAAATAAAAAACCTGATACCAGTATCTATTATATGAGGTGTATTAGGCAGCAGAGCATCAAATACAAACACTGTTTTAGTAAATCACAGTTATAAAGTTTAACTCTCTGGAGAGCAAACAAACAGATCTGGTCTAAAATTAGAGATCTTTTCCTTAACCTAGTGCATTAGATAGCATTTTAGGGCAAAATGGTATAGAGTCAGGGTAAATGTAAATTTAAATAATCAGAAATCTAAATAAAATAGTTTAAATAAAAAAAAAATATTTATGATACTATTTTATGTATAATATTACAGGAACTTGACTATCTTACTGTTTGTATATGCTATGTATTTTATTAGATCCAAGACCTTATTAGATTCTCATGTCATTATCTAACTTCTGTTGCACTACGAAAAAAAGTCTTAATCTGTTTTTTTAAGTAAATATAAACCAAATCATCCTGGAGAGCAAACAAACAGATCTGGTCTAAAATTAGAGATCTTTTCCTTAACCTAGTGCATTAGATAGCATTTTAGGGCAAAATGGTATAGAGTCAGGGTAAATGTAAATTTAAATAATCAGAAATCTAAATAAAATAGTTTAAATAAAAAAAAAATATTTATGATACTATTTTATGTATAATATTACAGGAACTTGACTATCTTACTGTTTGTATATGCTATGTATTTTATTAGATCCAAGACCTTATTAGATTCTCATGTCATTATCTAACTTATGTTGCACTACAAAAAAAATCTTAATCTGTTTTTTTAAGTAAATATAAACCAAATCATCCTTGAGACCAGATAATTATACTTAAGGCTTGTTAAGAAAATATATTTAAAAAATCATTATGAATATGAAAAAACACAAGAAAATATACACAGCAAATGTTTGAAATAATTGCATTTTTTTTAATTTTTAAAATAAGTTTTCCATGCTGACCAAGGCTGTATTTATTTGATGAAAAATAAAGTTAAAAAAAAACTTAATAGTATGAAATATTACTACAATTATGTTAAAATGTATTTTAACAATTATTTTTCATTTTTAAGGAATAAATAAAATTGTTAAGGAATAAAATTGCTGCCATTGATGGCAAAGCTGAAATTCAGAGTCACATGATCCTTCAGAAATAATTCTAAACAGTTATTTTAAATTGTAAATTATTATAAAACTTTTGACTTGTAGTGTACATTAATTAAGTTGACCTTTTTTTGCCCGATTGGCTCACTAAAATGTGTAAAATTTTGTAAAAAAAAATTGTTTTAATCTTGTTTTAAGGGTTTTTAGTTCCCTTTCAGTCGGTCACTCTCGACGTCACGTCGGATAACCGACGAAATTGGGATCTCGCTTAGAGAGACAATCTACTTCGAGTGTAAACTAAACGAGCCAATTTTTACACACATTGGCATGCGATTATTGCATGCGCAGGTGGCTTCCACAGGACACTGGAAGGGGCAGTAGCTGTGGCCTTTTGGTAGGATCCCAATTTCGTCGGTCATCCGACGTGACGTCGAGAGCGACCAACTGAAAGGGAACGTCTCGGTTACGTATGGTAACCCGCGTTCCCTGAAGGAGGGACGCATGCCAATGTGCATTGGCTCGTTTAGTTTACACTCGAAGTAGATTGGTCTCTCTAAGCGAGATCCCAATTTCGTCGGTCATCCGACGTGACGTCTCCGTTCCCTCCTTCAGGGAACGAGGGTTACCATACGTAATCGAGACGATATCTTTAGACAAAAATAATATGACAGCACTAATTACAATAATGACGTTTGCAGTGTTCAGACATCAGACAGCGAGGGGTTTGGAACAGAGCTAAGTAGTCTCTTCCTGAAAGTCTACAAATAGTGCAAACAGGAAGAACACTGAGGAAAAGACACTTCAAAATAGGTCACCGTGTCATTCTGCTATGAAGAATGAATCTATACTTCACTGAACATTACCCCCCAAATAGCAGGCCCTGTCAGCTAATTAACATCATTCTCATGAGATCAATTCCATTCAATATTTTGTCTTCCTCAAGGCCTGTCATTCTGGAAAGCATATGGTGGTATAGAGCCCCTGTGTCGCTCAGAGCATAGCTCACATTCATCAGAACATATAGCTGTGGGCAGCTTCTCGGAAACTGTGTGAATCCCAAATCGTTGTCACGGAAACTGCAGAAGAAGTCTGGAATGATCGGCAGAGGGCCACCTCGTTCAACATTCACAAGGTGCAGATACAGTACATGCTACACTCTTAATAAAAAAGCTTCCAAAAGGAGGTTTATTTCTTAATTATTTTTTTTTTTTGCAGTGATGCTATAGAACCTGGGTTCTACAAAGAGCCTATAAGTGAACAGTTCTTTCTCAGTTACTTAGCCACGTTGAAGAACCTTTTGTGCAATTAAAAGGTTCCATGGATGTTAAAGGTTCGTCATGCATCCATCAGTGGCAATAAAGAACTTTTACTTTTAAAAGTAACAAAGTGTAGGCACTTAATTTTTAGAGATGTCAGCACATCAGACCGGGTGGAAGCAGGACGTCCCAAACAGTAGGTAGCAAAATAAAGCTGCTTTATAAGCCTTATTTTGGCTAGATGTACATCACCTTTTGTAAGTAGGCAATGTCAAAAAGCCTTGCGACTATTTTTTTATAATTTTACTACTGACTACTATTTTTTCTGGCTGTTGAGTTTTTTCTATGGAAGCTTGCTTTCTTCCACAGGATAAAAAATAATGATAATAATAAAAAAATGTAAAAAGTAAAATGGTAATTGTGACATTTTGCAATTCATACTTTTTCTTTACATCTCACAATTCAGACATTTTTTCTTGCAATTGAGAACAAAAGTCAGAATTGTGAGATAAAAAGATAAAAAGTGAGATAAAAAGTATTCTGTAGCGGAAACAAAAAACAAAAGATCTGCAAGATGTAAACTCGGAATTCAATGAAAATGTCAGAATTGCACAAAAGAAAGTCAGAATTCTGAGTTGACGTTATAATTCTCAGAATTGCGATAAACAACGTCTAAATTGGCATATAAACTCAGAATTCTGAGAAAAAAAGTCAAAATTGTGAGAAAGAAAGTCAGAATGACAAGAAAAAAGTCAGAACTGTGAAATAAAACATCACAATAAAATAATTTATTATTATTATTATTATTATTATTTATTCCTTGGTGGAAACAAGCTTCCATACTTGTCTGATATATGGAGTGATAAAAAGATATTTCCAAAATCCCCTGTGTAAAAACCTTTGACTTTGAATTTTGAACTTTGAACTTTATCCAATGTTCAGATTTCTGGTCTGGAAACGTATGCAAATAAGTTAATATTTAATTAGACAATGTCTCATTTCCACTGTTAAACAACATTTTCAGAAAATGTGTAATACAAAAAAAGTTTGCAATTCTTAATCTAATCAATCAACAGAGAAATTATGGTGATATGAAAAGCACAAAAAAAAAATCACACACACACACACACACACACACACACACATATATATATATACCCTGTTCATCTGGAGTGTCTTGCCTTAAGTAATCCATTGATCATTTTTATATAATATTAACCCTGAAAAGTGGGTTCACAGTCATACCACAGAAACAGCAGGACGGCACGTGTGTGACTCACCCATTTCAGGATGGTGCCTCCCCTCCACAGGCACACTGACCGTCCGTCGCAGCAGCTTGTTCCTGTGCGTCTCCGAGCGCTGCTCGCGTATCAACAAAGGGTGAACCTGCGGGAGAGTAGAGATAAAGGTCAGTGCAAAGAGCGTGGGGTCAATATGGCAAGCTGCAGGGCTCTGCAAGTCCCGCTGAGACGAGACTCCTTGAAATAATAAAGCAATGGTGTGTGTGCTTGGGGTGAAGGGAGAAAATAATTGCAAACTTGTGTGTGTAATGTGTTTATTTAAGCCTCGGTATGGGGCTGCATCTTACGGGATTTTTTCTTAACGCAGGCGAGCGCTCATTCATCTCTGTGCAGCAAGCAGATGGAGGAAAACATCTCAGCGCAGGTTTGCCTTCAAATTGCACAGGGCTTGTTTAGCAGTGTGGGTGTCTCTCCTGTGTTCACCAGCACTATCTGGAGGGAGATACGATCAGGATATCGAGAGCAGGGCTGTGAACGAGGCGATTACCTACAATCTGGGGTGATAAATGAGCGGGGCAAGAGAGGATCAGACACTGAGCCCCTATGGGAAGCAGCTAAAATGTTTCAGGGGTGGCCTTGTCACTTGGCTGAAGTCACATGACCTGGGTGCATTTTCTGGTTTTATGCACAGCTCAGCTTTTCAGATTCAGATTTCAGATTTATTAGAATATGACATTAAGACAATATTGTGCGCTATGCCTGAAGATGCATTGGTGTGGTTTGTCTTTATAGTTTTAACAATTATAGATGTCTGTGTTATGCTTTCTGTTATGGAAAAGCAAGCTCAATATTATCTTTCAATGTCTTTAAAATAGATCTACAGCAAACTGCAATGAAATTACAGAAAGGATCAGCGCATAAAAAATGCATAACATCCAATGAATCCTTCATGACTTACTAGAAAGCATGCAAGATCGCTGTTTATGCCCTTTTATGTGAACAATTATCTATGCCGATATATTTTAAGGATAAACTCAGTGCACACCATTAACAATGTGTCGGTTTGCATAGTATGTGAGGCAGTTGTTTTTTTGACTAAATGTAAATGATTAGGCTTACATTAATATCAGAGTATTTGTCTGCTAAAGACAAATGCCACCATATCCACGACACCAGAAGAAGCATGTTTAACACAAATTAACTGTCACTTTAAAGTATGCACTGGGTCTAAGACGTTTCTCATAAAATTGCATATAGGAGAACAAAACGAATGCAGGTATTATAGTTCAGATAATGGATTTATTTTTTTTTTTTTACACAATTTTAGGTTTGGAACATGGAGGTAAAGAAAAGCAGGTTAAACTTCTTTAGGGGTACATTGGAGAGCACAGCAAATCCATTACAAAATGCACTATTGTGTTTCAACAACTTTCCAAAAGAGGAATAAAATATAGACAAATGGAATAAAGCAGTCACATGCATATGCATCAAGAAAGGGAATGCAAAAATATTTGTTATCGGACATTAAATTTAAATCACTTTAAATCGGCTATGTAATTAAAATATTACATATATAACACAAGTACAATTTTTATGAGTACAGTAACATTTTTATTTTAACATTTACATTTTAAAATGTTTAACATTTTCTTTACTGTTTTATATTTTTAGTTATATTTACATACTTATTCATATATTTATAATTTTTTTCACTTTAATTTTTTGTATTTTTTAAATATTTTGTAAAATGTACAAAACACAAGAAGTATATAAATATAGCTATAAATATATAAAAATGTTGCTGGAAATATGTATGGAAAAACTATGTTGAATTTGAAAATATCTCTATATGTTATGGGATGTGACTTTTCCAATCAATTAATAAATAAATAAAACACTTTTAAACTATTGGTACAGCATAATGTAGTATAGCCTACATTCATACATTTATATTTGTTTTTATATCCTTTAATTTGCATTATGCTTGGAGAAGAACATTTGGCAGGATGTGAAAGAACTTTTTGTATTCAATAAAAATTAAATTTGGCATTTTTTTTACATCCTGTGCTGTCTAGAATATTACATATATCTTGTTTGTGATTTTTCTTTCCTCTAAGTCATGATTCACTGCCACAGCATGTAAGGTCATATCTGCTCACTGCAAATAATCTAATACACTCTTGGACATATTAAGGCAGCCAGAAAATGTGGCCTGTCGCCATCATGCTATCTGAAACTGAACCCATTAGACCCACATACAGTACGCATCTGGAACTGTGGGACACAGGTGAGTGGCTGCCTGTAGAATGAGTTCAGCTGGGCGACTGTGTTGACTGGGCAGCAATTACCTGGTTCAGTGTTATCTGGCACACATCACAGAAGAGTAACTGAAAAAAACACAGAGTCAGAGACCAGGTGGAGATGGACCCGCTACGGGTCGACAATCAGCTTCTCAGAGGAGAGGAGCCTCAGTATTTTTTGCCTATGAGACGAGCAGTCACTAGATATAGAGCGCAAAAGTGTTCCCCCAATTTTCATCCGCCTTAGTTCTGGAACTATTTTTTACATTCATTTTTACCATATGGATACTAAAAAAAAATAAGTCTTTGTTCAAAAGTTATAAACCATGAACCAAACCAACCAGCTACGTGGAGAGTCACAACACTACAAACATTTATTTGAAGCAATTTGAAAATCAGGTAAAAAGACAAAGGTACAAGACAAAGAAAGAACTACAATCCCATGAAGCACTGCAAATGACAAAACCAAAATGAAAACAATAGATAAATATAAAAGTGAGTGAAGTGACATGTGGCCAAGTATGGTGACCCATACTAGGAATTAGTGCTCTGCATTTACCCATCCAAAGTGCACACACACAGCAGTGAACACACACACACCGTGAACACACACCCGGAGCAGTGGGCAGCCATTTATGCTGCGGCACCCGGGGAGCAGTTGGGGGTTCGGTGCCTTGCTCAAGGGCACCTCAGTCGTGGTATTGAAGGTGGGAGAGAGCGCTGTACATTCACTCCCCCCACCTACACCTATATATATATATTGTCTTAAGTAAGTTTCTTTCAGAATTTTGTTTTTGTTTTTTTTAAGATGTTTAAAGATGTTTTAAGAAAAAAAATCCTTATGAACAAAATTAATGGGATTATTATTTTTACAGTTCACATATTGAATTCTGAGTTTACATTTCTTAATTCTGTTTTTTTTTTTGTTTTTTTTTGTTCCCACCACAGAACAAAAAAACCTTTTTATTTTTTTTTTTTTTTGTTCCCACCACAGAACAAAAAAACCTTTTTATCTCACAATTCAGACTCAATTGTTTTTATATCTATTTTATATTTGTATTATTCTCAGAAAAAAAGTCAGAATTGTGAGACATAAACTCAGAATTACCACAGATTTAGTAAGAATTAGTTAGAATTACACTCTAAAAAATGCTGGGTTAAATATAACCCAGCGCTGGGTTAAAAAGGGAAAAACCCAGCTATTGGGTTGTTTTGACCCAGCGGTTGGGTTGTTTTGACTCAACTGCTGGGTCAAAACAACCAAATAGCTGGGTTTGTCCCTTTTTAACCCAGCGCTGGGTTATATTTAACCCAGCATTTTTTAGAGTGTACCTTTTTTATTTTTTTTATTCCGTGGCGAAAATGGACTTCCATAGATTTTTTCTTCTGGAACTCGACTGTTGCACTTTATAAAATGTACACAGTATTCAAAACAGGAAACATTTGGGGCGGGACTATCTCTTAGTCTAACCAATAGCAGATAGGGGGCGTCGTACAGTGATTATGTGTTGGTGACACAAATTTCACCTTTAAAAAGTTAAACTTTGTGACCTGTCTCAGGACTTCTGTATTTAGCATTTAGAGTCTAGCTGTTTTAATCCCAAGAACAGTCTTTGTGTGTATCCCCATAATTCTGGGCAGGGCTAAGGCTTGGCAAACGTACCCGTGCTGCCCTATAGGGGGGTTTGCCATATGCCAGCACAGTCAAAACCAGCCCAGCTGTGTGACGGGGCAGATGATGGAGGAAACGGGGAGGAGAGCAGCAGGTGTGCAGTCCGTTCTGTCATAATGGTGTGCTAATAGATCACAGCCCAACCTGACAGCACCCTGCCGGCAGCCCGACCGACCCGAACCCCAACTGACTCCCCTGGCATCCTGCTCCATCCCGGATCTGCCCTGCGAACACCACGATAGTACAGCAGAACAGCTGAGCTAAAGAGAAGAAGGATGAGATCTGTCTGCTTCTATCAACATCACATCACTGTCAGGTTCCAGCTGCTCTGGTAATAAATGACACAGGATGATTTTCACTGAAGACACCAGCTATGGGTTATATCCTGATCCTGACAACGCCGTACCTGACATATATTATCTCCTGTTACATTTTTACTGTGCAATCACTGAATTATGGATAGAAAATACAGTCAAATGTGGCAGTTGAACGATACAGATAGATGGATGTACGGCTTTCTCACCACAAATATATGGAAATTAATTCTCCACCTACAACAAAATGGCAGCGAAAACTGTCTGATCTGCTAACAAAGCCTGTCCTGTTTCAGCAGCTCTACTTACTTTTTATGACATAAAAGTGTGGAAAAAGTCCAAAAATCCAAACTACATGACGTCATTACAGATTGTTTTGAATAGTGATAAATGAAATAACAAAATAGACATGTTAAGACCTTTGTAAGTGCCTTCAACAGCTTCAAGAGGTTACAATTAACGTTTTCTTTCATTTTTGTAGCTTTGAGGCTAATATTTATATGCTGGGGCTCTCCTAAAAGTTGATAAAATAAACTTCAAAACAATAAACATTAAAAATCCAATTTATTTTCTCTATAAGGGAACTTCTGATTGTTTGCAATTATTTCACCTTATTTTTTGAATAATTGTTTAACAGTAGGATTCCTAATGAAAAACTACATTTCCCATAATTCCCCAGAGAATTTAATCTACTAATTATATGTTTGAATACATGTGAATATTTTGCAATACACATAAAATATGTTGTTTTGATATAATCAACATCTTTAAGTCTTTTTAATTTATTTAATTATTATGAATTTATCATTTTTAAGTCCTATATATTATAAAGCAAATGAATTGGATGACTGTTGTTAACTAAAATTAAAACTAAACTTATTAAAAATATTTTTTGTTAATTGAAATAAAGTGAAAAAATACAAAATATATTTTTATTTTTTATATAAAAATATATTATAAAAACATAAAATATAATTATTAGGTGAAACACTTAAAAAAAAAACAATAAAAATGACAAAAAGCACATAACAAAATGATGAAAACTTGAACTAAAAATTTAAACTGAAAATATAAAAACATATGTATAATTTTATTTACTTTTATTACAATATTGCATTTATTATTATTTATTAGTCAATTAATCAGTTAATTAGTAAATAATTCTTTAAAAAAAATTCCTAGACATTTTACATAGCAAACAAAATAGTTGTTGTTACCTAAAATTAAAGCTATTAAAAATATATATATTTTTTTTTTTTTTTACCAATCAGAGAATTAAAACTACTACTTAGATGTTTGTATAAAATGTGCATTTTTTTTTTTGCATAAGCTTAAAATATGTTGTTGTTTAAAGATGTTTCAACATCTCAAATCAACAAATCAATAGTTTTACATATCTCCGATGTTTTTAATTTGATTATATCATTTGCGATGCTTCATAGGATTGTAGTTCTTTCTCTCATTAAAAAAAGTAAACAGCAGACAGTCTTGTAACTTTATCTGATTTTCAAATACTTTTTGGTACAAAGTGTGTAATGTTGTGATTCTCCTCGTTGGTTTGGTTCATGGCTTATAACTCTTTCACCAAGAGACTACTTTATGGGAAAAATGAATGAGAAATATACTTCTGGAACCAAAGCGACTGAAAAAGTAGACAGCCACTACTGTTGCACTCTAAATAGGAAAGAAACCATTTCACGAGCTCTTTCATATTTTCACGTGACACATCCCATGAAGCCATTACATAATCTTTTCAAACAGACTCCCACAATGCTAACATCTCTATCTGCAGACTTGTCATGTTCTGTCACAGCATCAGCTGCGAGCAAAGCCTCTCGTTGACTGTGTCCATACTAATTAATTTATTTACTGTGACATCTTTCAACAGCGCGATGCGAGCAGCCACAGAGCGCGATTTGGTAAGCACATGATTCCACAGCCCGATTCCTGGGCAGCTACAAGAATGGCTGCCTCCCACTCACAGCCAGAGAAACCTTGCTCTGGGCCTTCTTGCGTAACGCAGTGTCACGGTGGCACGGATCCGCACGAGGACCATTCATGTGTGTGTGAAGTCGGACGTGGGCCACTGTCACCTCACATCAATTAGCATCAAATGACGTGTCAGCAAATCACTCCTGACCCTCTCACTCCCTCTAAAGGCTGTTTCAGAACATAGCAACAAGTCACTATATATTTTTTTAATTCGCCCATTTTACTGTAATCTACCTGAATTTGATTCTCTTTGTATGTACTTTTCTGTGATGACTCAAATCAGCTGTAAATTAGACAAAAAAAAAAAGTATTTAAAATATCTTTATACAGGTAAAGGTTGTTAGGTTATAAATGATGGCAAAACATTTTTCTCGTGAATTAGGACTTTCTTTCAGAATTTGTTTTGTAAAGGTGGCACATTGATGGGGTGTAAAATATTATAAAAGGTAATGTTTTTTAATAAACACACACATTATATGTTATTTTTATATTACATTCATTATTATTAATATTATTATTATTAATTTATAATTTATACATCAAATGAAATGGATGACTGTTGCTATCGGAAATAAGATAAACTTTAAATATTAGGTGAAACACTTAAAAAACCTAATAAAAAAGCACATATCAAAATTATGAAAACAAACTAAAATTAAAAAGAAAACTTAAAATATAAAATTATATATAATTTATTCATTTTATTATATTACTTTTATTATTTATTGTTATTGTTTTATTATTATTTATTATTATTATTATATTTATTTTTAAAGAAAGTCCCATACATTTTATACAGCACACAAAATTAAAAATCATCTTTGTTAACTGACAGAAATCAAATAAAATGTAAATATTAGGTGAAACACAACATAAAAACATAAACATAAAAAATATTAAATGAAAATTTGAACTAAATTTACTAAAACTAAATTAAATAAAGTACTACAAATGACAAAAGTATATGAATTGAAAGCATAAAAAAGCTCAATCAAAAGATAAATGCAATAAATTAAATACTACAATCAAATAAAAATTATACAAAAATACATAAAACATCCAATTTGTATATAATACACTGGTACAGTTATTAATTTACGGTACTTAAATTTTTCTGTTAAGTGAGGGTAACATAAACTGATTGGGAATGAATTTACTGGCCTCAGTCATGAAAACAATCAGAGAAAAGGCATGTCCCTCCTGCGGACTCTCAGAGTGCAAATGTCTGCACGGAGGAGACGCTTGTCATTCACTACAGGACCTGAATGAAGACCCTCACACACACAAACAGGGCTGCAACTGTCCCCTGCAGCACATGAGTGACAACCATGAATATTTATCAGAGAGGTGACAGCCATATAGTCCGTCAAGACTGATTCACATCGATTCAAAGTGTGGCCTTATCGGAACATGCAACAAAACGGGCGCAATTAGACAGGACAGAGCGTCTGATTAATGAGCCTCTCAACGTCTTGCTGATCCACATCACCAGCTGCTTTACAGGTCAGCCAGTGTGTCCATTAACAACACAGCACTGCAGGCTGACTTCCTGTAGGTACAGTCAGACTAGACTCAAAGAATGCTAAATTATTTTGGACGAATATGGGCAGCAGGATATGATCAGGTTTCAGGGCCGTCATGAACCTATTTTTTTTGAGGGAGCACCAGTCCTGGCTCACTTTGTGCCCTTGGTAAGATAAGGGGGGAAATTAATTAATTCATTCATTGACTTCTGTAAGATGTGCTACTATAGAGATAAAGTTTTAAAGTAATTCATGTTCACTGCCCAACCTGAAACAAAAAGCTGCAGTTAAACAGAACTACTTAAAATCAATTAAAATACATTTAGAAAAATGCACATGCACTGATTAATATCATTCTAATAATAGTAATAATATTTATCAGGTATTTTACAACAAAAATAGTTCATTTCTATGTAAATTCAAATATGTAATACTGGAGTTTGTTGCCGTTGTTCTATGTGTTGTTTTATGTATATTTATAACAACAATATATAACTGATTTAATAAATTATTTATTATTTATGTGTATATGTTTATATATATATAAAAACACAGTTTAATAATACATATTAATAATTGTCATTACTAAAAATATATTCATTCATTATTTATTAATCAGGTATATTGTTGCCATTGTTCTGTATTGAACAATTGTCGTTCAATATTAGGTATATTAGGCTAGATATCAGTAATGTAATATGCCATTAAAAAAATAAATAAAAGAAAACTACTCAGTTTTACAGGCTTTGGCTGAAATCAGACATCAAAACATTATAATGTACAGTATAAAAATTAACAGTCTGAAATGGAAAAAAAATCAAACCTGATATTATCCATCGGTCTAATCAGACTACAGCTAATTAACAAACTGCTAATAATGCTCATATGCACACCAACATAATACTTGATACTTTTGAGTTGCAACACTTATATCACTCCCAGACTATACATGCGAATCAACCAAAGAATATAGAGACATAAAATATGTTTTGAGCTGTGGAATTTCTCAAATAAATTCCCTTGTGTAAACTGGCAGTAAAATGAGCACCCAGCACACAAACTGTAGAAAGGAACATATTGGAAAGGAAGTGCATGATTCTATGTTATTGGGCTACCAGTACCTCCTCCTGGTCCAACATGTAGAGCTGATTTCCACTGATCACACACAGACGAGGATTCCAGTCGGGTTGCTCGTAGGAGGGAGCAGCAGCAAAGGAGGGCTGGTGTCGGAAGGAGGGGGGGGCAGCATACCTCGCATCTGGGACAGGAGGAGGAGAGGAGAACGGGTAAGGGACTGCATGCCAATAATAAAAATACAAGACAAAACTATGCTTTTATTCCAACTAGTTCAAAGTCTATAAGCAGATTTAACCTGAACTTACAACATTTGACCAGTATGTGGCGCTGTTACCAAATATTCATCCAAAGTTTAAAGAATCTATCCCTCAGAAGTCTCTTTGAATAAAACTCTTTTCCATAATGGATAAATGTAAGTTTAAATTGATTAAGCAAAACTTTGCCACATTATGATAACAACATAACTTCCTGGCTGGCATTATAACAGAAAAATTATTGATGCACTACAGGGAAATGGTTTGAAGTTTCAAATATATTTTTAAATTGCACTTTAATCGTGATCACAATTTCTGATATTGGCCTGTTGGTTAGTTAGTTAGTTAGTTAGTTAGCTAGCTCTCATGCATTGGGTTTTTTACTTCATTCTCTCAACCTGGCAACCTTTTCACAACTGCTCTCAGCACTGCAAAAAATAAATAAATAAATAAATAAAACAAAATAAAATAAAGTATTTTTTGTTGTTTTAATAGAAAACAGTTATGCAATTTGGAATTATTGTAATTAACATTTTGCTGTGTTCACATTTGCTCGATAGAGTTTTACCAATTTTCATAATGTAGCAAGTGTGTCAATATATCATAAATACTATAAATCAGGAAACTAGATGAGGTCAAATTAACTCTCTCTTGTTTATTAATCAAGATTAATTTCTGTGCAAAAATAACCATGACTATCATTTTAATCGTCATGCAGCCCTATTTTATATTTTGACCAGCATTTATGAAAAAACAAAACAAGAAGTTGTAGGATGACTTTGAAAATCAAAATTTTAATTGGTGGACAGGTAATATGGCGATTGACTTTAGGTCACAAAAAGTTTTGAAGTTTTAAGGACTGATTTTCTAACCACTAGGTGAGCAAAGCTATAAATTGTTATATTGCTAAATATTATTACACTTTAAAATAACTGTTTTCTATCTTAAAATATTTTTAAAATATATTTTTCAGGATTCTTTGATAAACAGAAAGTTCAAAAGAACAGCATGTATTTGAAGAAGAAACATTTAAATATCTTTCCTGACATTTTTGATTCATTTAATGCATCCTGACTGAATAAACATTACAATCTTTACAAAAAAATTAAAATCTACGGTAAAAAAATTGCTCTTCACAAAGGCTCATAATATCAACCCATTACCTTTTTTAAATGCAATATCAGTCAGTAAAAGGACTGTAAGTGGGCCAACATTAATATCAGGGTAAAAATCAGTTGGTTTACCATCTGGTTCTATGGGCTGTCATAGACTACCAGCCAACAACAGTCCAAAAAGACACAATATGTACCTAAGTCTTTTCCCTCAGACTGTAAATGTATAACTCATGTGCAGACTTTGATATTGATGGCACTGTGGTTTCATCAGGTTTTAAATCGAGCTGTAAAGCTGTCACACGTTCGGCTCTGGCCCTGTCAGCCAAGGTGATAGCACTAAAGCGATTACTGTGGCGCTTGACTTTTTTTACTTCATCCCTGTTCTTCTATACAACTCACAACTGGACGCGCCTCCCACTCTTTCGCTCTAGAAACTACAGCTCAGAGTCGATATTCTGCCCCGGTGTCCTCTCGTTCCATGAGCTCCTACCCTCTGAACCTCCAGCCAATCAGAAACAGCCTTGACAGATGGTGGCGGCATCAGAGGGATGCTGGACCGGCACAGGACGCTTCTGTCCAGACTCACACACACATTCGTCAGATTTCCTCCAAGCACTCCAGAACAACAGTGGAAGGCACTCACAAAACAGATCACTGGACTTATGTAGCCGTATGTTTGCTAGAATTTATGCACAGACAAGTGGAGTCTTCTTTTTCTGCTTTCCATTTCTTTGAGCTAGTGGAAAAATGTCTTCAGCATCCAAAGCGACTTAAAGTGCATTCAGGCTATACATTTTTTACCAGTATGTGTGTTCCCTGGGAATTGAACCCACGACCTTTTGCGCTTCTACCACTGAGCCACAGGAACA